TCAAGTCCCCCCTTCCTCCCCCCACCCCCGCTACGTACCAAATCCCCCCTTCCTCCCATCCACCCACCGTGGGGGGTGGAGGCACGGACGATACACATACGTAGCGGGAGCGCTGCATCGTAGGGGGCGCCACCCGCTGTTAACTAACGTCGTCGGGCTGGCTGCTGGCGTCGGGGAGCACAGGCGCCCCCTGCAGGCAGTTATTCGCCGGCAGCGCCACCTGGCGGCCACCCCTCGACGACACAGTGGGAGCAAGTTTCTTCAGGCTGATCTGGCCAGAGGGCAGCACCGTGCGCACGGTGAAGAGGGCGCCGCTGGAGGTCTGCGCGACCACGCCGGCGGCGGGCGCCGAGTTCTGTGGTAAGAGGGCGCCGGCGTTGGGAGCGAACACGACCGTGCTGCCCCCTGCATTCTGCATCGCCACGACACGCGGCTGCTGCCCGCCAGGGGACGCCGCCGTCACGTACACGGGCGCGACGCGAGAGGGCGCCACCGACACGAGATTCAGCGGCGTCGAAACGACGTGCAGAGCCTGAGGGGGCGCCAGCGCGCGCCGCGGCTGACCGAGCACCGTGGCTCCCCCTGGCGGCGGCGGAACGGTGACGAGCTGCAAGGTTCGGCCGCCGATCGTGACGGTGGCCGTCCGCTGCAGCTGCACACGAGGGGGCGCCGCCGTACCCGCGGGCGCCAGCTTGCGCAGCACGGACGGCGGCGACGCGGCCGTCGTCACGGCAACGCCGGGGCCGCGAGGGGGGGAGGCGGGTCCCTGCTCCCCGTCCGACTGCGACGCAAGCGCTCGCCGCGTGCGAATCACAAGGTTGGGGTTCGACCACGGCTGCGGCGGGCTGCTGACAACAGGGGGCGCCGCCGACCGCTGCTTGGGCGACGTCGCCGCAACAGAGGGCACCACCAGTCGTTGCCTGGGCGAACTAACAGGAGGGGACGACACCGGTAGCTGTTTGGGGGAGCTGACGGGAGGGGGAGCTACTGGGCGGTGCTTGGGCGGTCTCCCGACCCTGCGAGGGGAGGGCGTGGCATTGTTGGGGGGCCGCCCCGCACGACCTCGCGGCGTTAACCCCCTCCCCCTCCCCGCGGCAGCAGCGGCGGCGGCCCGACCCCGCCCTGCCTTAGGCGGGCGACCCACGGGCCGCTTCACGATGCCGTTGACCAGCGGCGGGGCGGCGGCGGCGGCCTGAGGTTTCTCCACCCAGCGACCCCGGGGCGCGGGTTTCGTGACGGCGGGGGTAGGGGGCGCCACCGCGGCGGCGGCTGCGGCGTGCGCCGACATAGAGAGGGCGTTGTCGTCGAGGATGCTGCGCTCCTGCTCGCGCTGCGCTCGCCGAATCTCCAGCGTCTCCCGGCGGCCGCTGCTGCGCCGGTGCTGCCCCGCGGTGGCGGCGCGCCGCGACGACCCCGCCCGCCCGCGCGGACCCTTGCCCGCGCCGCGTCGCGCGCTCGTTGACGGTGGCGGCACCTGGGAGGCAGTGGCGTCGTCGTGGGAGTACGTGTAGAGCATCTCGTCTTCCTCCTCGGCGCGTTGCTCCTCCTCCTCCCTCAGCTGCATCAGCCTGCCCAGCTCCCAGTCCTTCTTAGCTGCCTCCACCTGTTCCTGCAGAGAAAGTAAACATAGGTGCCGGGTTAGGTTAGCTAATGTGCAAGCTAATAGTCACTGTATACATACAGTATTATTATACTAAATAATATATAATGAAACATAGGTGCCGGGTTAGGTAGGTGGAAGCTAATAGTCACTGTATACATCCACATTATTATTATACTAAATAATATATAATGAAACATAGGTGCCGGGTTAGGTAGGTGGAAGCTAATAGTCACTGTATACATCAACAGTATTATTATACTAAATAATATATAATGAAACATAGGTGCCGGGTTAGGTAGATGGAAGCTAATAGTCACTGTATACATACACAGTATTATTATACTAAATAATATATAATGAAACATAGGTGCTGGGTTAGGTAGATGGAAGCTAATAGTCACTGTATACATCCAGATTATTATTATACTAAATAATATATAATGAAACATAGGTGCCGGGTTAGGTAGATGAAAGCTAATGTGCAAGCTAATAGNCCAAACATCCTGAGAAGGTCTTTTATTAGCAGACTCGCTTTGGATGTCTGTGCCACCTCACCTCGACGTACTTCTACGCCTTTCGTCCTTCATCCCGACCAGACAAGCCTATCGCGTACTGCCCTCCCTCTGCACGGAACGCCCCCCCCCACCCTTCTCCCTTCTCCTGCTCCTGCTTCTCCCAGCTTCTTCGCCCTCCTCCGTTCTCACACTTTCCGGGCCTTCTCTCCCTCAACTTCCACCACCTTCTCTCTTTCTCGCCCTCCTCTTCTCCCCACTTCTCCCCTCCTCTTCTCCCCTTCTCCATTTTCTCGTTCTCCAATCCAGCTTCTCCCTCCTCCTATCTCCAACCAACCCTTCTTCCTTGCTCCCTTCTCCTTCTCCACCAGGCTTCTCCGTTCCTCTTCTCACACCACCTTCTCTCTTCTCCCGTCGGCGACACCTGCTGGTACATGTACTCAGTCGTCTCGTGGGCCGCACTTCGCGACGCCCCTTCTCGCACGCCTGTTCCAACTGAGATGGCGCTGACCTTCTACGCTACCTGCGCTAGCTTTGAGTTCTTCCTCTACGACCTGGGTCGCAAGGCTGAGTCCTCCACAGCGCAATACACCACGGCCATGACCTTCTCTCGCCTCGACCACACTCCTCTTCTCTCCGCGACCCTTCTCCTCGCCTCAGCCTTGCTAACACACACACCCCCTCCTTCTCCGCACCCACGCTTCCTTGCCCTCCAACTCCACCTCTCGCTTTCTCGCCCGTCCTCTCCCAACCACCTTCCTTCTCCCCGTCCTAATAAATCGTCCTTCTCGCCTTCTCCCCCTCCTGCCTCCACCGTCCCTCTCCATCAACACGAGATGCGTGTGTGCTCCTAAGCTATAACAGATAACAGTAATAGAGAGAGATCCGGCGGTTGTCTCATCAGCCTAATCCAGCAGCCCTATAGCCAGCACATAGACGAAGGCTGTCTATGCCATGGCGGCTGTCACTGCCAGCATCACTAGATAGCACGTAATTAACCTATTTGTAGACGCGATTTCGTCGATGGCGCCGCTGTCCTATCAGCTCCAGGCACCAGGAAACTATAGCTTAATCGAGGAGAGAGATTGTTCTGGCCGTGTAAGCCCTTCACCATACAGATACAGTAATAGAGAGAGCACCTGTCCGTTGCGTCGTAACTGCACTACCCAGATACAGTTAATAGAGAAGAGATGTGTACTAAGCCCACTACAGATTATCAGCAATCCACGAGAGAGATCGCGCTGCTGCTGTACTCGCATCTCACACGTCATACACGAAGTAATCCAGCCACGAGAGATGGCGGTGCTGAAGCCAGCCAAGTTTCTCCACGATACCATCAGTACATTAGAGACGCAGGACTCGCTGGCGTCGTTCCGGTCCCCCTTTGCTACCTTCTCACGCACCTCACTCAGCTTATCTCCCACACACGAAGGTAGAGACGAGATTCCGGCGGTCGGCCGTCCTTTACTAGCACGCCCACACACTTATGTCACCTCATTCTCCAGTAATAGAAACGCATTCCCGTCCCTATGACTCGCGCCCGACGCTTTGTCCCCACGCCTAGACCTCACTTTCTAAGCACTATCACTTTCGTACATAGAGAAGCATGTACTTTGTGGTGTAAGCCCCACCCTATCCTCCACCACAGGCCTCCCTTCTCCCGTTTCCTTCTTCTCCCCGGCGCTTCTCGCCCTCCAGATTGGCCACCGGTTCCCACGGTAATCCACGCACACGAGAGCGACTGGGCGGTGTATAGCCTCATACCCGAGATACAGTAGGGAGTAGTAGGAGCTGAATCGGGCGCATGGTGCTATCCCAACCGCTCACTACAGACTACTCACCCGGCGCGCGGGACCGCGTTTAATCGAGACCGGAGACCGATGGCGCTGGTCGGCTACACGCAATCACACAGGGAGGACACGTTTATCAGTCAGCACGAGCACTCTGGCTTGCGCTTTCTCAGTCAACGCATAACGAGATACAGTAATAGACGGATTCTGCACGGCGAGCGTTGCGAGAGCAGAACTTTACAGATACTCAAAACCAACGTAATTTATGCTACGAGACGATTTCTTGGTCGGGTCTCCACTGTTATCTTACACACACCAGATACATCGCCTCCAGATAGAGAAGAGATGGTGCTGGCAAGCACTATCCAGACCTCAACCAGTAATAGTCGAGAGTATCGGTGGTCGCTACAGCACACTCAGTATACCAGTAATGTAGAGAGAAGATCCGCTCGGAACCGCTACCAGCATCATCTTAGTATACATGTAATAGACCGAGTTGTATTCGTGTGTGTAACGCCATCACAATGATTACCAGCTCTCTATGCACGAGAGCACTGGCTCGGTTGTAGCCAGAAAGACATTCCAGATACATTTTGTAATAGCAGAGTCGCATTATTCGCGCGCTGATACAACGCCACTACAGATAGCCAGTAATTTATGAGTAGACGATGGTGGTGTAAGCATACAGATACAGTAATAGAGAGAGATGGTGGTGTAAGCACACAGATACAGCATATTAGCAATCGAGCCACGATCGATGACCTCTTAACGCCCACTCTATCTCCGCACCACATGGCCACACAAAAGCACTGTGCATGCACCTCCCTGCACCCCCTCACGGCGCACTCCCTTTCCTCCTATCCAACGCGTCGCGTGCAGTCCTACGCGTGGTGCCCCTTCCTTTCCCTCCTCCTCTTCTCCCCCCCAACCCTTCTCCCTCCTCCCTTCTCATCCCAATTCAACCCTTGTTTCTGTCCTTCCTATCCCTCCTCCTTTCCGCCACGCTTACTCCGCCCCCTCCTCCTTCTCTCCCCCTACCCATGTCTCTTCTTACCCTTTCTCCTTCTCCACCAGCTTCTCACCTTCTGACATCGTCGTAGCACTCGCATGGTGCGCGGGCCCCTCTAACCCCCCTGGCTGGACGAGCGATTCTGGCGAGGTTCACGTTCGACGGAGTCTGTCTTCGCTCTTCAGGGTCGCACTTCTCCGCGATCTGTCTCGTCAAACTATCAGCCTTCACTCTGCCTGCTTCGTCCCTGCTTCATGCTCTGCTCTCCCCGGCTTCTCCGCCCTCCGCTCACGCCTTCTCTTCCACCCACCTTCTCGCCGTGCTGGGCCTTCACATCGTCCCCCTTGTATCCCTCTCTGCCGCCGTACACACGCGCCTTCCGCTACTCTTGCCTTCGCGCGCCGAACAAACACGACAAGAACGTTGCGTCGCACCCTCGCTCTTCTCCCCATCACCTTTTTCCTTCTCTGCGCGCTCTGTCAGTCGGTGCGCGCCGGTCTCGCACGCAACCGCAACATCGGCCTTCCTTCCTCCTTCTCCCACCGTATTAACCCCTCGTCTTCGCATTAATTTACGTTGTTTTGATTAATGTTATCATTATGTTTTTCTCTTACTTGTTACTACATTACTCTGCCTTAGTTTAAAACATCTAATTATTTGAGAATCGCAATAGTCAATCAATGTTGCAATCTGTATTATCTACTATTACTCTATCAGCTATTTTTTTTTCATCATCCACCTTGCACTCCTCTCATCCAACTCAAACTTATTTGCGCTTGTTATTGTTTTACACGTACTCGATTATCTATTATCGAATATTACTCTTCGTTCGCCCTTTATCCCACGTATTCCCCCATGTAGCTCGCATGCGCGCCCGCTCAGCTCTGTCAATAATCTGTGTGATCTCACAGCCAACTGGCTTGCATCCCGCGACTTAGAGACCTCCCCCACCCCTCCCGGCTCGGTCCTTTCCCCCCGGCCAGCGCACGAGCTTACTCACCAGAGGATGAGCGAGAGCACGGAGGGAGGCGAGGGCTGAAGGATGGAGACGGATGGGAGAGGAAACCGCCCTGGTCGGGCACACCGCAGGTGCTGCTTCTGCCTCTCGAGCACTTTTTACCACTCATCGGCGCGTAAAAAACAACAACTTCATCGAGAGAAACCTCAGCGCAGCCGACGTTATCCTGCCGGGCGTAACAGGTGGCGCCCCCACCTTTACTTCTGCACAATCTGCGTCTCAGAGAGATCCTCCTCTTCCTCTGTGGCTTCCTTCACCGTCGGGTCGCGCCCTTCCTTTTTTCGCTCCACCGGGCCCTGCCTCCACTTCTTCCTCTGTCCTCCGTTCCTTCCTTCCTTCTCCCGGCCAGCCCCTGCTAGCTAGCCCTTTGCCTTTCGCGCCGAGTTCTTTCCTCCAGCCCCGTGGGAACATCGAACAACTCCTTGATGTTTTGCTGCAAAGTCGATGAAAACAGATTGAAAAGACGGGATTTACAACAAGTGAAGATAAACATATCACTTCTGCATCTGACCTTTCCTGCGACTCCAGTCCAGGCAACTAATATATTTCGGGCGTTTACCGCTATTGTACAATATGACGACGAACGGGCGGGACTGAAGGCGTTGGATCCACCACCTTGTGGTATCCGTTGAATACACTCCGGCTCCCCCTAATTATTCATTTCCACCAGGTTACCATCTCGATCCAAGTTCCGGACATCGCACACATTTCAGCTCCTGTGAAACACATTGCCATGATCTCCCGTGTTCGGGGATTGTTTTCAATATTCTCAGCTGGAAATCTAAGGCATGTTCGGAGTAATGTATGGATGTTGTAAAATAGCTCTCCAGCGTTTTCGCAAGGAACTCGTCGGACCCCCTTTGACCCATACCGCATTATAGGCCTGGGGAGACACGCCTTGTTCGGTATGACTACTACTTACCCTTCTCTAATCAGCGGTTCTCCAAAGAGCAATCTTATAGCCTGGCGCCGCCGCCTGGCCCACAGTTCTATCTGGTTCTGAGTCCCCACCCGCCATCTGCCTCTCTCACCTAACAAACTGTGCTACTTCCCCAGCCTATGCTAAATTATCATCATGACTCTCCCCTTCTCTCCTGCCCGTCCCTAGCACCCCCCAAGCTTCTCCCTGTCCTCCCTCTCCCCCCCTAGCACTCACAACCCCCGGCCTTCATCTGATTCTCGCTAACTACGTATCCTGTAAGCGTCAGGTCAGCTCTGCTTCATTGCCTATTAATGAATAATAGCTTGGAGAACCCTGATATTATTAATATCACTTATTATTCTAGATCTGGCGACAGGCACCTCCCGCGAACCGCACAGGCCAGTTCCCCGTCCTTCCCCCTGTAGAGTTTATACAGACCTTGTCGGGATGTTTTGTGCCCCTTCAGGTTCCCCTGACGACCCCGAGACGCAAACCGGATGCCTCTCCCCCTCCTCTTCCTCGGCCCACGGAACACCCGAGCCGACAACGCCTGACGTGCGTATTACTATTGTATCTGATGTCTCGTGCGCGCTGCATATCTTCTTCGCGGATTTTGTAGCGATACGCACGTATTTAGAGCCATGTAACCTCGAGCCACCTAGCACTCCGAGGCTGTTGGTGGCATAATCCTTTCCGCACAGATGTCCCCCCTCCCCTCTGCTCGCACTCTGCCACCACATGTATCATCTACAGAGCATGCAACCACATGAACAGACAGTCCTTCCCTCCTCCCCCCAGGGCTGTTTCACCACCCTCTCCACACCCTATCTCCTTCTCCCGCCTTCCTCTCTACCAGCTCACAGCTACCCCACTTGCCATCTTCCGCCCCCTCCCTTATCCCGAACATACACGACACGACGCACTGCTATCAGCGCCACGCAGCATCAAGCCCCCAAAACTATTTCTCATACTCTCTCCTCCTCCCCCCCTCGCCCTTCCCCTCCTTCTCCTCTTCCTCCTTCTCCACCCGCACGCATGCTCACACACAGCATGGCCGCCTCTCCCGCCTCCTCCCCTTCTCCTTCTCCCCTCCTGCCCCAGCCACACACACGCGCACGCACAACGCACACACACGCATGCAATCGCTCCTTTCTTTCTTCCTCCCCCTTGCCCCCTCACCCTTCTCTGACGAACACACACCGTTCCTCCCGTGCTGGTGCCCAGGGCGCTCCCGCCCCCCCGCTCTCCCCCGATCACCCGGCCATTTCGTCTCCCAGCAGCGTTCGCGTTCTTCTGGTTGCTTGTCTTCACAGCCATGCTTCTTCCTCTCTCTTCCAGCTCCGTCTTCGTCACCGGGCTGCTCACTTCTCCTGCACGCCTCCGGTACTACTTTCCCCCTGTGGCACGTCGCGCGTTCCCCCTCCCTTCTCCCCCCCTTCTCTCTTCTCCCTCCTCCTTCTCCACCCGCTTCTCTCACCCCCCGTCTCCAAGTTCCTGCGCTTGACTACCCGGTCACCAAGCTCCCTCTCGCGTTTCCCCTTCTCCGCGCCTGTAACCGGCGCTGAGACACATCAGCTACGGGAGCCGCTTGCTCGTAGTCATCCTCTCGCTCAAGGGGCGCGCGCCCAAAGCTTCTCGCGAACCTCCCTACGTTCTCCGCCGAACCTTGCCTCCGGTTCTTGGACTCACACCATCGTGTGCTTTACTACTTAATCGCGTTATTAATTGTTAAGCCATAATTATACAATTGCATCTATCTAGTTCAACACGTTCACTAGCGGTTATTTACTGGCCCTTCTCATTTCTTTTTCCCGAACTCCAGCATGACCATGCACTCCCTTTAATTCATCTGATTTCTTCACATAGGCGTTTATTCATTCTACCTCCAAGGCTATACTTCTCGTTTACATCTCACTACTCTGACTAACTCACCTTTCCGTCTACTAAACCACCCTCTCCGCTACTTCTCTGCTCTACCTCATTTCTCTCAACCTCGCTGATCTCGCCCGCCTCCTTCTCCAATCCCTTTTTCCTTCCTCAGCCCCTCCCTTCCACTAATCGTGCTGATCTCTCACCTCTATACGCGCCCAACTCTTCGCTGCACCGTACCAGAGCACCGCCCTGCCCCGCCCTATCCGTCGTCCCGTCGTCCCCCTCCGTCCACCCAAACCTTCTCCGTTTCCCTCCCTCCACCCCTTCTCCCTTCTCCGCCCTCCTACCACCACCGTTCTCTCTTCTCCCCCTCTCCTTCTGCACGTTCTCCCGGCCTCTTCTCCACCACCTTCTCCCCTTCTCCCTCTCCTCCTTCTCCAACCAATGCTTCCTCCCCCTCCTGCTTTTCCACCAGCTTCTCCCCCTCCTCCACCAACCTTCTCCTTCTGCCCCCTCCTCGCTTCTCCACCAGCTTCTCGGCTTCTCCCTCCCCTACGACGAGTCCTCTCTACAAACGCAGCTTTCTGAGGCATGAGCGTACGCACTATGCGACGGTTGCTCGAGGCTAGAGGCACAAGCAGACTGATGAGGACGACGCGCATAACGTGGGCGCGCCCATTCCCAGCTCATCGGCCTTGCCTCTGCCCCCCCTGTCCGCTCCCTCTTCGAATACTTTCCTTACATCATCACCCGAGGGTCATTTCTCCCCCTCTCCTTCTCCTGCGCACAGCGCACACTCGAGCGTCATCTCTCCTCGGCCTCTCTCTGCTCCGCCTCGCAACTACAAACATCATCTCAGGTCCAACTACTATCACAGTACTTCTCCCTCCCCTCGCTCAATCGCTCTGCACTTCTTGCGTTACACACACACCCGTCTCTTCTCCTTATCTCTGCCTCCTCCCTGTTCTCCCACTGCTCAGACGACCTGCTTTCATTCTCCATTCGCCTCCCGCCACTATTTCCGCCTCTCCAACACACAAAGGCCATACTTCCCCTTCCTCCTTCTCCAAACACCCTTTCTCTTCTCACCCTTCCCCTTCTCTACCACAGCTTCTCGCATTGCTTAAACGCTCCATCATTTACGAGAATTCATCCAGTGTTTTTACCAAACTTTCGACGATACCTACGCCGTTATTGGCTCGAGTACAGCAGGCAATTGTCTAGAGTAACGCTAACATGTCTATTAGAAACCCTCCGTATTCAGCAAAACATGGCACATTTCGCACTGCGGTTTGATCAAATCGATCGTTTGCTGTGATCCTTGGGACAAGAGCCTTGTAAGGTGTTTGGAGCCAGCTAATAGCGGCCAGCGGCCGCGCGCGGGCCTTCTGCCATAAGACGCGGTCTGACTGGAAGCGGGTGACACCTCGGGGGGTGACAAATCCATCTCTCTCAATGCAAGTGTTTTTCACCTTTGTCAGAACCGACCAAATTACAGTCCGACACATTTCACGCCACATTGCCTTAAATGACTACGTCACGAATTTTCTAGATGGTAAATATTTGTAAAAAGTAAAGTAAGTAACTAACGGGACTAAACGTTATGCGTCAAATTCTTACCCTGATAAGATTGTTTTCTCAACAAGGTTAAAGATCCCAAAAAAACCTGGACGATTTTGCTATTAGTCGTTCCCTGACTATTAATTGCTTGATATGCGGGCTATGTATCGCGTCACCGAGTGTATGTGCACATTCAATCATAGTAAAATAACGAAGTGTAATGCAGCAATTTAACCATAAAAAGTGAAGCAGAATTACGTATATTTTGTGAAAGTGGCTTTTTTTAATTGTTATTTACGGTGACCCGTAATCACTTTAAACGATTGTATCTGCGTCTTGCTGCGCACAGCTCTAGAAGCGCGCATTCACCTGAGCGTCCATCGTCGGGTTCCAATCGCTGTCGTAGAATATCACAGTGTCAGCGCCGGTAAGGTTCACACCGATGCCACCAGAGCGCGTTGATAGTATCATGCAGAAGATGCGCGGGTCTGCGTTGAATCGCTCCATCAGCGTCTGCTCACGGAAACACAAGAACGTCATTAGTTATCTACCGAACGCTGGCACCACAACGCTGGAACGCTTCTCCTTTCTCTGTCTCTTACTCTTCATGCTTCCTCTGCCTCCCTCACTCTTCCTCCACCCCTCGTCTGTGCCCGCTCCTATCTCTCTCTTCTTCCCCCTCCCTCCCACTCCCCTCCTTTGTAATTTTAATTACAGTTAACTAACAGTTCAAATTAGGCACCAAACTTGAAAGAACATAAAGAAGCACAATTATTTTATTTAAGGTATTACTTGTCTTAACCAAGTTGAAGCGATGGTAGAAAATGATGAAAAATTGCTCTAAAAAGCTGCTTGTCCAGCGGACAAGCTGCTGGACAAGTCTAGTTGTCCTCCGTGGAAACAGACAAGTGAGGACAAACGGATAGCCGTTATTTCGAACACTGTGTACTCTATGTAAAAGTTACTGTAAATCTTCGATATATATATTGAGATCTGCGACAGGAATCCCCGGAGAGCAGCCGTCCTCTCCTGAGAGTTTTATACAGACGCGGATGCTGTTGCCCACGACGACCAGAGAACAGGATGCCGCCACGGAACGCCGGCGACACCTGCTGGTACATGTACTGATGTCTCGTGGGCGCATATTTTCTTGCGGATTTGTACGATACGCACGTATTTAGAGCCATTAACTGAGCAAAGATCGAGCTGTGGTGGCAGTAACCACAGATGTCCCCCTCCCTGCCATTGCCACCATGTACACTACAGACATGCACACATGCACAGACAGGTTCACAACCTCACACACGCACGCGCGCGCACATACACACACACGCACGCACGCGCACGCCCGCGCACACACACACGCACACACGCACACACACACGCGCACGCACACGCACACACACGCATGCAATCGCTCCTCCCCCTTGCCTCACCTTCTTGAAGAAGGCCGTGTTGAAGGCTCCGCCCTCGATGGCCATGTCTCCCAGCAGGCGTTTCTGGTTGGCTTTCTTCAGTATGTTCTCCTCTATCGTCTTCTCGCTGACGAGCCGGTATATGTGCACGTCGCGCGTCTGTCCAATCCGGTGACACCGGTCCTGCGCCTGAAACGCGTGAACACACAGAGGGAGCTGTAGTCACTGCCAGGGGGCGCCGCAGAACCACGCGCGATTGCTCGAGGATCAACGATGGGTTTACTACTGATGTTATTATTGTTAACCATAATAATAATCATGTTATGTTATCGTTATTAGGTTCATAACTCAAGTACTGATGCCCTCATTAATTATTGATTTTAATAGTGTTATTATTACTACAATATTAATGTTTAATTATTATGACTAATCACTCGTTACTGCTATCGTTATTCATGTACTGATGCCCTCAGCTCTCATAATCTGTGTATCACAGGCCAACTGCTGCACGACAGAGACCGCACCGGTCGGCCGGACACGACGAGCTTAGACGAGGCATGAGGAGAGAGGAGGGAGAGGCTGACGGAAAGGAGATCTGCAGGAGAGGAAACCGGTGCGGCACCGGAGGTGCCTGCCTCTTGCTCTCGATAATTTTCTTACATCATCGGCATGCACACACTGAAAGCCATCCCGCCGCAAACAAACATCACTCAGCAGATATTTATATAATCGCTCAGTCACCGCACTCCTGCCGTACACCCCCCCAAAGAACCACCCCGGCCCCGCGAGAACTGCTTCATGACGCACCCCGGATTAAACGCACACAAGTTTGCTTTAAACTCCCATTCATTAGCGAGAATTCTCCACTGTTTACCCCCTTTCACGATACTACCGTTATTGCGCTGCGAGTAATCACAATGTCTAGAGTAACGATAACAGTGTCTTAGAACGCCTCGTATCAGGCAAAACATGCACTTTTTCGAACGGTTTGACAAACGATCGTTTGCTGTTGATCTTGGACAAGAGCCGGTAGGTTGTTGGACGGCAGCTAATAAGCGCCACCTATCGCCCACTATGACATACAATCTCTCTCAATGCAAGTGTTTCAATTTTGTCACCGACAAATTACAAGTCGATCACCATTTTCACCGCTGAACATTGCTATAAAATTTGACTACCGTCACCGAAATTTTTCTAGACTTGGTAAAAATTTTGTAAAAGGCTAAAGTAAGAAACTAACGGCACGTAAAATCGTATCGTCAAATCTCTGACCTGATAAGGAATTGTTTCTCAATATCAAGTTAACAAATCCAAAAACACCTGGACAGTTTGATATTAGTTGTTCCTGTGACTTAATTGCGTTGATTATGGGCTATGTAGCTGCGTCACGTAGTGTATGTCACACATCAATCATAGTAAAAAAGAAGTGTAATGCAGCAATTTAACCATAAACAAATGTGAAGCAGAATTACGTATAATTTTGGAAGTGGATTTTTTTAAATTTTTATTTACGGTGACCGGTAATCACTTAAACGATGTATCCTGCGTCTCGGCGCAGCAAGCGCCGGGCACTCACACTGAGCGTCCCACGCGGTTCCAAATCGCTGTCGTAGAATATCACGAGTGTCGCAGCTGCCGGTGAGTTCACGAGCCGAGCCACCAGAGCGGCGTTGATAGTATCATGCAGAAGATCGCGGGTCTCTATAAATCGCTNCCTCCCTCCCTCCCTCCTCCTCCCCTCCCTCCCTCTCACCTGTCTCATCTCTATGCGGGTGGTGCCATCCAGGCGTAGGTAGCGATGGCCGTGGTAGTTGAGGAACGTTTCTAGGATGTCCAGCATGCGAGTCATTTGCGTGAAGATGAGCGCGCGGTGAGCGTCCACCTTCAGTCGCCGTAGCAACACGTCCAGCGTCTGCAGCTTACCTGACGACGAAACGCGCACGCCGTTACCGCGGCAACAAGGCTGACGGAAACACGGTCGAGGAAAAAACGCCGATTATGAAAGCGGAGAGTTGACGTAGAGAAAGGGATCCGCGAAGAGGCAATTACATTCCACAGCAGCTACTACTGTACTAGAGGATGCCACGTGATTGTATAAGCTTTTGCCGATTCTGCATCCTTTCTGCTTCTTTCTTCCATGAGTAGTATCTTCTCATAGGCCATGAGCCAGACCCGATAATTTTGGCCATCGGTACCATTCGAGGGGAATAATGCTCATAGTAATTTTTGGCAAGGTATACATCTAGAGTCAGAAACGATGTGATAGCATTGCATTGGTGTGTAGCCTTTGGTGTATTATTAGCCGTTTAGTAACCCTAACGCAAAATAATCTTCTAAGAGGATCACAATGATTGCGACACGCTAAAGATGCCCCGCGAGTCTATGACGGCGACGAGATGCTCTATTGTTACTAGAGGGAGACAGCAGCACTCACCACAGTCGTACTGTATGAGGCGGCGGTCGGGGAACTGCGTTGATGTGTAGCTGTCGATGGCGTGCAGACACGCTGAGCGCGGCGCTAGCTCGTTATGCAGCAGTAGCGCCCTCTCTTGCTCACGCACTGCCAGCGATGGTGGCACGTGAGACATGTGTATCTGAGGCTGTGGCGAACGCACGGGCGGCGTGCAGAACACGTACCTGCCGAGGTAACGACAACGTAACACACACCTGTAGTACAGCTAACGACGTAACACACCTGTAGTCGTGCTAACACACCTGTAATCGTGCTAACGAGGTAACACACCTGTAATCGTGCTAACGAGGTAACACACCTGTAGTCGTGCTAACACACCTGTAATCGTGCTAACGAGGTAACACACCTGTAGTAGTGCTAACGAGCACACACACACACCTGTAGTAGTGCCAACGAGCACACACACACCTGTAGTAGTACACCTGTAGTAGTGCTAACGAGCACACACACACACACACCTGTACAGGGATGAGATTGGATAATTTAA